TCTCTCTCTCTCTCTCTCTCTCTCTCTCTCTCTCTCTCTCTCTCTCTTTTCTTTTTTTAAAGTGAGCCACAGACTGGATGCTCAAATGCTTTCATCTCTGTGGTGGGGGGGAGGGGGAACTGATTGATAAGATTTAAATTAACTGGATGCGGTTAATTTTAAAGCATCATATTTATATATACATATATGCCTATAAGACGTGAGACATCTGAAATCTGTGCATGTGGAAATGTGACAAAATAGCCCTGTAGGTCGGTTGTTATGATTCCGACGTCCTGGGACCAAAATGCAAGCGTGTCGATGCAGCGGTTCATTGAGAAAAATAAATCCATTCAGGAGACTCCACAGCATCTCTGCGTCAGTGTTGACGTCAGAAACAATGATAAAGTCAAATATTGATCTGGGAGAAGGCTATTTCTGGTCGGGTATATTTCAAGAAGAGACACCACATGCAGGGTGTCCTCTGTTTTAGACCATAAACAAATGATTAAGAGGCTTTTATTGATTTTCAGCATCACAATCAGAGCCACGTGAAACCTCTGGTATAAATGAATAACTGTAGTCCTCATTGTCAGTACTATCTCTGCTTTTTCAGGAGGTCTGCCAAGACATGAGCACTGAAGACACTCCATTTGTTCCAACGGTTACAGCAATTTCCTCTACCCCAGATTTCCAGTGGATGGTCCAGCCTACGATTATTACATCTGTCTCCCCGTCTCTGGGTAGCAAGCAAGCCAATGAACCGCGAAGCTCTCACCAGGCAACACCCAAAGCGGGCGGGAGTAAGGGAAAAAATGCTGCCAGAAAGGGGAAAACAGAGCAGGTAGGTTAGCTCTGATGAAGTCTACCTGCTATTGGACAGAACAGTCAATAGTGTCAATTTGCATATGCCAATCTGAATTCCTTGTGTGCAGCCGAGCTATTGTGCATGCTCCTCTGGTGCCGTGTGCGGGCTGTGTGCCTTCCTTAGGCAGTCAATTTATATTCAGGTCACAGCAAGTCTGCAACAATAGTCTATTTTTAGACGCATTGCAGTGAAACATGCTTTTGCCACTCTTCAGAGGGCGAACTGGGAGCGGGTGTTGTGGATTAGGGGAAGAAATGGCTGGGTTCTTCGTGGTAATGACTGAATTATTTCCCTTACATCCCAGCTGTCTCCTGAGGAGGAGGAGAAGAAGAGGATAAGAAGGGAGAGGAATAAAATGGCTGCAGCAAAGTGTCGCAACAGAAGGAGGGAGCTCACAGATACGCTGCAAGCTGTAAGTAAACAGTGATTAATTTGCTCAGCTGTCATTTACACCTACTGCGGTGTGTTTTGCTTTTTGTTTGTTTGTTTGATTTTCCACATGGATGATTTTTTGGTGTCGATCTGTTTAAAGGAGACAGACAAGCTGGAGGAGGAAAAGGCTGCCCTGGAGACCGAAATAGCCAACCTAATCAAAGAGAAAGAACGGCTCGAATTTATTCTTGCTACACATAAGCCGGTGTGCCAGGTGTCAGAAGAGCTTGAATCCATTTTCCAAGAGTCCACAGGGTCTCCAGGCCTACCGCCCAGTCCAGACGAGGACAGGCTTCCAGAGGATGGCACGCAAGAAGCTCCATCACTCCAAGACATGGACGACCCCAGCGATCCGTCCACAGCCATCTCTGGGAACTCGAATATTTTGCTGTGTGCAAGTGCTGAAATCAACATCTGTGATCTCGAGCCCTCCCTGGACCTTAAGGAGGGGCTACTGGACAATATTTTACCCACGCTGGAGGAGAAGACTCCCATGGAGACAGCTCGATCCGTGCCAGACATAGATCTGAGTAGCTCTCTCGGGGTCTCGGACTGGGAGACTCTGTATAAGTCGGTTTCCAGCGACCTGGAGCCTCTCAGCACTCCCGTGGTCACCTCCACCCCTACCTGCAGCAGCTACCTGTCTGTGTTCACATTTGCGTGCCCTGAGCTGGACTCTCTCACAGAGGGACTAGACAGCCACAAAGGTGGAGGAAGCAAGGGCGATTCTGTCGACATCCTCAACTCTCCGACTCTCCTAGCCTTATAAAATGCAAAGAGGCGCTGATCTGTTTGATCTCTTTCTGGTCTCTCTGTTTGCAGGTTCCCGACGTTGAAATGATATGAACAGCGTATGCTGTAATGCTTCAAGGAACACATTCATGAAAAGTCTTGTACATGACTAAGCAAACATATAAACTCTCTTCAGATACATAGTCAACAGAGTGATGTAGCTAAAAGCATGGCTTTTAATTTAACCGAAAGGACTGAAGTAAGTTTTGATTTTAAACGCATGCTGAAAAATTCCAAATAATTTTCAAAGCTCATCTCTGATCTGTTACTAGATCTAAGCTGTAACGTGGAATTTAATGTAACAGTATGGTTTTGTGTTTTTTGGTGTCAGTAGTGTACTGATTGATGTAAATGTCTTTACATATCCATCTAAGTACCTGCGTACCTCATCAAGTGTGGTTTGACCTCATTGTTAAAATGTTGAAAGTTTTCCATGAAAACATTCAGTGCTATATACTATTATATATATAGATATATATATCTTATCAAGATGTAACTTATGATTTATTTTTTTACCTTTCAGACTTGGACTTATTTGTTTAAATTAAAAAAAACAAACAAGTAAAATGGGCATATATTGCTTAACTATGCTGCTGAATAACTACAATAAATCTGCGTTCACAGTGGTGCTCGGTGCTGATCACTTTGTGGACTTTGAATTATGAGGGGTTTTTTCCTCCAAAGAAACTTAAAGTAAAATTCCTTTAAAATATTTCAAATACAAATATTTTTATTTTATTTGTAGTACCCTTTAGATATTTGCTGTTGAAGAAGCGGAGGTGGGAGTTCACTGTAGATCAGTGGCCGTGCTGTTTTTCCAGCGCAGGCCTGCATCTGAGTCGTATTATTGTGGTCGCAGCGGCAGCAGCAGTATGCAGCCTCCCTGTTTCTTTATGGGAGGAGCGGTGCGACTTCCCCACTTCTGCCCCCACTATGTAGGCTACTTTTTTTTCTAACATCCCTGCTTACGTTTGACTGGCATAGCCTAATTTCCGCATTCCCAAATCCTCCCAGATTGGGATCACGTTTAAAATCGGGCTGATGCAACGATTTCCACTTTTTAAAATATACTCTCGACCCTCGGCTGACCAGAAGAAAGGACATTTGTTGCACCTGGGATCAAAGTCAGGTCGGTATACAAAACTTCAGAAGTCGAGAGCTGCATATTTAATTTATTTATTTATTTTTTATTTTTGGTACATGCTGAATAGCTTATTGGCGCGCCACACATAGGTCATAACGAGCATAGTTTGCGAAGAGGCAGCGGGCAGGTCTGATGTTTTCGATTACACGGTGCGATCGATGCATTCTCTGAATTTCTCTGTTAAAGCAAACCTGACATCTTTAGTGATCGTGCTGCAGAAAGGTCATTTTCTTTTGTTTGCATGCTCCTTTTTCATGAATCACGGCGTGCACAATTCAGAACAAAATGTTCTTGTTTTGTCTAGTCCGCCGTTTACATTAGTGCCTCGCACTGATTCTCAAAATGCGGGTTATCCGAGCGGCTGTGGACGGAAAGCTGTAACATTTTATCACTGCAGGTCTCTGATGGAAACACAAAGTTACGTAAGATGGGCTTAATGCCGCACTGTAGAAAAAAAACTTCCGCTTTCAAGTTGACCAATTCAGCATGCTACACCACTATATAACTGGTCAAGCGATTACATTGTTAAACGGCTCTAAATGTGCTTTCATGCATAGCCTGGGGGTTTCAGCATTGTAAACAAATAGTCTGGTGATAATACACCATGACCAAGCGAGTTGTTTCTATGGGACATTCAGGATTAGCCATTAATAAAGTGACTATTAGTAGAGAAAGTTTAAAACCACCTTCGGGGCCCCTGCATCAACATTCAGATGGCAGTCACTGGCTCATAATGTGTGTTTGGGGTTTTATTTTGAGGATAGAAAAAATGATAAGCAAAAGTTACATTTGGCTTTAAGTGTTTTTGCTTTCATTTCAAGCTAAACTGCTCACACATTATTTCTCCGTTTTATCATGGCTGTTATGCTTTAATTGCAAGCAGAGTGTTACCGGTATGTTGTTTATGGCCTCTCTACTTCCTCTTGGTCTTTATGACCTGAACTTTGAGGAAGTTGCAAAACTAAAAGTTATTCCCATGTGAGATTATTATGTAGCCTGTGAGTTCATGTTCTGAGGAGAGCCACTGAGACTTGACCCTCCTCTTTAATAAACATTAGTCTACACAAAGAACACAAAGCCAGATTGCTGTTTCTTGTGGTTATATATTTTAATTAGAATTTGCCTTGGTTGTTTTTGTGATGAGGGATAAAGGTACATCAGAAGTTTTTTGGGGGGATTTCATGTGACTTGGACATCCGCTGAGCTGCTGTAGTAACTTCCTGTATGTTGGGTGGCTCTCACCGTCTTTGTATATGCTGAAGTGTCCTTGTCTACATATTTGCCTGTGCAAAACTGTGGTAATGTGTTCAAACAGTGTCGCATTAACTTTGTTTTTCAGCTAAAGAAAGCAAACTATTTTCTTAAACGTTACTGCATTGTGCTATATTTTGGCTGCATAATTTCACGTCTTTATCCTCAATTTTGGCTCTCCCCCCTCGATATGTCTCATATTCAGGAAATCACAGTCACCCTGTAACTATTTCTTGGCAACTGCTACCTTTAGCGCCCCTTGGAATAAAGTAGAATTTGTTTGAGTCTAGTCTTTGCAGTGTTGTTCACCTCTCTTTTTGGCCTTGTAGCATTAGATGATGTACGTTCTTGCCACGATCCCTGAAGTGTTAGAAACTGTTTTTTAGAAAATATTGCAAAATTGAATAAAAACAACACCAGTCCACCTTTTGCAAATGATTCATTGAAGCCCTCTAACAGATGGTACATAATGCACTTATATTTGTTATCAACTCATAAATGTAAAGCATTCCTGTAATGTATTCAGTTTTTTATGTGTTTTCCTTAATCTGACTTGGTTTGTTGTCTGAGTATATCTCCCGTTTTCTCCCTCTCCCGCCTAGCTGTGGTCACGACCGAGTCTGACACGATGCCAGGACAAATCCCAGATCCCTCTGTCACAGCGGGCTCCCTGCCCAGCCTGGGCCCACTGGCTGGGATCACAGCCACCACACTGACTGACAAGCTCAAATTTGGCGACCTCCAGGAGTTTGGGACAATGCTGTCACCTCTGCATTTCCTGGATAGTCTGGGGAAGAGGCCTCTAATAATCAAAACTGAGGTATAGGACACACTAAGCAGTTGATAACCGTTATCCTTTAAACTAAGGCCACGTTTTAAGTTTTTACTCAGCTTACATGTTCTTTTTAAAGGTTCATTTCTAAAAAGTGGCTCCAAGGTGTGTTTTTAATGTATCTGCTGTTAAAAAAGGGCATGGAAATTGTCTGCTAACTGTGTTTAAAATCTCGCTTCTGTATCCTAAAGAAATGTGTTTGCTGTTTATATTTTATTCAACAGGACCATCTAGTGGACACAAAGGGACATGTAGTTTATAGAGCAGGTAGATTAGTAATAGTGGCAGAAGTACAGGTCGTTTTTTTAATGCTGTCCCAAAGTAGTGTTTACAAATAGAGTTAAAAACAACAACACCCTACATATATAAAACAATGAGAAGAAATGGCTTTTTATATGAACTTTCCTGCTGTGTCAGATGTCCGTGAGAAATCACGTCCTCCATACACTTGCACAGGTTTTCTTGGGGAGATTTGACTTCTCCTGCCTTAAAAAAAATACGTCGGGTCCATCAATTACCTGGCGTTCAAGGATGCTTAGGCATGCCAGACTGTGCCAGGTTAAAAATGCTTTTTTTCTATTTTTATGCATACCATGACTGAAACAGAAGGACTTGCACGCTAATGTAGAGGGAAAAACAAACCAAAAAGTCTTTAGTTTGGGGAAATGTCACTTTGACTTGTTTACAGTGATAGCAAAGAAGAGCCCAGTAGGTTAAATACTAATATTAACACATACACATTCCCATCCTTACTCTGTTCATGGACTGCCTGCTATTGTATGGCAGATTAATTGTGCCTGAAGGTGTGTTTAAAACTCTTGTGCCTGTCTCTAGAGAGACGAGGAGGAAGAGAGGAGAAAACGAAGGCGGGAGAAAAACAAAGTGGCTGCAGCTCGCTGTCGAAACAAAAAGAAGGAGAGGACAGATTATCTACAAAAGGTGAGGCACATCTAAGGAGCCTCCTTTGCATGATTGCACACTCTCACATACTCAACTTGTGTCTCACTCTTTCCACAATTATTACTTTGTCTTCCTTCCAATCCCATGGCAGGAGTCGGAAAGGCTAGAGATGTTAAATTCCGACCTTAAAGCCCAGATCGAGGAGCTGAAGCTTGAACGACAGCAGCTGATCCTCATGCTCAACCGCCACCGCCCCACGTGTATTGTCAGGACAGACAGTGTCAAAACTCCGGAGGGTGAGGTGAGCCCCCTGCTGCAGCAGCTGGAGGCCAAGTGAAGGTTGTAGTGCGAGTTCCTACAGTTTACGATTGGGAAGAAGCAACAAACTAGCAGCACTTACGTTTGGGGCCTCGGTCGTGGAGGAGAACCAGCCACTGAGCGCTACACCACAAAATGTGGATCCACTGTGCTTAGACACTGTTTTGGCAGTTAAATCAATCTTCTTTCATAGTCTTTGTTTTGTTTTGTTTTTGTTTTTTATTGTTCCTTCTTGCTTTTTCATTTATTCTTCATTTTCGTCTTCACAGGTCCAGCCACAATTAGTGTGAAAGTAAAGAAAAAAACACAGCACAACTTTTGGTAGAATTACAAGCCACACACGAGGCATTACTTTGATATATTTCCAGTAATTACACCTGTGTTTTAATGCTTTTTGTTTTGTTTTTTTGTAGTTAACCCTAAAACAGAACTGCATTCGATCAGTCAGCTGCACAGATGATTATTTGTTGCTGTGTGGGATGAAACTAAGTCACTGTTTCCATGCAGGGCAAAGGCGATACCCCAAAGAGACAGTGTTTGTAAGTTATCAGGCTACAAATAGACATCTTTGCAGCATGATGTGACCTTGACTGTCCTTCAATTGTTAAAATACATGCAGGGAATTGTAGAAATATCATTGAAATCTGTGGGGAAATAGTTATATATGTATAAAAAAATAACTACTGGAATACATTAACCATCACATACAGATGATTTTTTTATTTCTGTATAAACCCACAGTCAAAGAAGCCTTTGTATCGCATAAATAACCTCAAGCATTTTTCATGTGTTGGCACAGCAGCTGAACATTTTTTCTTTATTCCATTGTTTTTTGGCGCAGGCGTCATGTATGCACATATATATATATATACAAGTGTTTACATTGTACTTTATTTTCTGTTACCATATTGTTACTAGCAATTATGTTTATGTTTTTATTCTTTTGTATATGGTGTTATATAAGCATATAAGCTATCACAAAATCCCATTTTGTATTTCCTTAAGAAATAAATGTCTAGTTTCTTTTTTTAAAATTATTGAATAATATTTTTTGAGTCTTGCAAAATGGAAGACGTTTTATAATAATATTTTGTGCACAAAAAAAAAGTTTCAGGAGCAAAGTTTCTGGTAAACCCTGACATCTTGTGGTGAGCTGCAGCACAGCTCATTAACCTTCCTGC